GTTGCAGATGGGCTCGAGTGCAGCGTGAAGCAGAAGCTCCTTCACGGTGGAGAAACACACTTCCACTTTCCCACCTTTAAATCTTACAAACTCAAGGTCACAACACTGAGAGGTCCGTCACACAACAAATACTGACTGTATACGTACATGTGTCCGTGCAATGACAATTAAGTGGAATCTGATCAAAACTCAACTTTGTCAAACCATTCTTTTTTAAATTTCACTTGTTTCCGCTTATCAAATGTGACACTTTTATATCATAGAAAGTTTAATATATTTGAGTTTTAGACTGTTTGTGGCCCAAACAAGACATTTGAAGAAACTACAGTTTATTCCTGGAATTTGTGAGATGCTCCGTTATAGTGAAAGAATTGCAAAATGTTCAGTAGATAATCAATCCTTGAAATACTTGTTAGTTGCAGCTCAACTTTAGTTTTGATTTCACTACAAATGTTTGGCGATTGGACTGTTGGTCGGACAAATAAGCTATTTGAACACTTGGCAAAGGGCTGAAAATGCATTGCATTTGACTTCATGCCAAAATAAAATGTGTTTGTGGCAGTAGTCACATTGTGAGAATCAACATTTCTGACTCTCTTTGATCGCAAAACCTTAAACCCTAGGAATGAGGACATACATTATGTCTCAGTGTGAAGACCAGAGATTAGCCCCGCATTCCTCTAACAGCTGTCAACTTTTGTAAAGAAGCACAAAATGACACAGTGTGAAGGGGAGTTAAATCTTCCAGGTCACAGGCTAATACCGCTAGAAGTGCTCGCTCACAGATAATTCCATCCTGACACCTTCTCTCCTCAGGCACTTTCACACCAATTCACGCCATAACTCATGGGGTCTGAGGACTCACGTGACTTCAACGAGACCGTGATGACCCTCAAGGTATGTCAACATGTGAACCCAGGAAACATGGGACAGGAGTGAAACGCCTTCTGTGTGAAAACAGGTTTTAAAAGGAAAGTGCTTTAAGAGAATTAAGCTCTGACACACTGATGTTTAAAAGGTTTTAACCCTTGATGCAATTTCTGCATTATTTGATGAAACAGATTTGTATTAATGTCCCGTACATTATTTGAAGTTGCTCAATAGTTCAGCCCCACATGTTTGGTGATTTATTTAGACAATGAAAATCTTGACTGATTTAAAATGTGTTTATTGCCTTTGGTGGTCTGTTGTTTGTCTGTGATATGAATGAATGACCCCTGCGGTTTTACCTGCTGCTGTCACGCTCTCAGCTGACGAAGTGGCAGTCAGGCATGCATCCCATCAGGGAATCAGAGAGATGATCCGCCTCGCATTCACCTGGCCGTTATTCACCTCGCCTGATTTGAAGCGGGAGAAAAGGGTGAATGAATATTTCTCTGTCTCTACTGTCACGCAGGATTATTGTAGCCAAGAACCGCTCTGACACATCTCATTATGAAACACAAGATGTGATCTGGTGCGCTGTGGGCAAACGAAGGAATTCAGTCAAATTGCCAATTTTGACGATGACGAACCCGGCATTTCAGAAGGGAAGGTTCAAGAACTGCATGTTTCTGTGGGAGCGAGAGTAGAAAAAGGTCAGTAGTGTCAGATTCACACACTTTTACTCAAGTTGAGTGAACATGCTAAACCTCCCAGAGGGAAGCACTTTAGACCTGTGTGCGTGTGCGTGTGCGTGTGCGTGTGTGTGTGTGTGTGTGCGTGTGTGTGTGTGTGTGTGTGTGCATGGATCAATGATGGGCTACAATACTGTACCTCCCTTCAGCACCGTGCATTGACTGCAGGTTATGGTGATTAAGTGCTCCTTTATCAGACGTCAGGCTAACAACAAAGGTCCAGAATAGGATTAGGCGGAGACGTGTAATGCTACCACTCCTAATGCTAAGGGCCTTTGAGAATCTGCTGGCAGTGAGAACAGGCGCGATGCTGCAGGGTAGGATTACTGCACAAAGAGATGGAGGGATATGGAATGAGGTGTGGGAGCCCCCTCCATCCCTTTTTTATCTTGACATCCTTAAATGCTTTCCATACCCAGAGGTGGGAGAAGTACTCAGATCTTGTACTTAAGTACACGTAGGAGTACCAGAGTGTAGGTATACTCTGTTACAAGTGAAAGTCCTGCATTCAAAATGTTACTCAAGTAAAAGTACAAAGGTATTGGCATCAACATATACTTAAAGTAAAAGGACAAATGTTCCAGTATTTCCGCTTGGTAAAGATGGGGATTCTTTAAATTACTCGATTTACTGCTGGGTAGATTAACCTATAATAATACATAAAGATGCATTGGTTGATTTATATTCTGTATTATAAATCCATATCTGCAAAGTAGTAACTGAATCTGTAAGAATTGAGTAAAAAGTAAAAAATTGCCTCCAAAATGTATAGTATACTTTAATATAGTATAAGACTTAAGTATAAAGTAGCATAACATGAAAATACTCAAGTGAAACACAACTACCTCAACATTGTACTTAAGTATACAGTAATTGAGTAAATGTACTTAGTTACATTCCTCCACTGTGTATCCCATCCTATCCCGCTCCGTGAGGCAGCGTCTCTCATGTCCGCGGCGTGTTGTCTCTCTCGGGGGGGTCAGATCCGAGGGGCTGACGTGGTTCGGGTGGAGAGAGCAGCGGGGGGGACGTTCATCCATCACGAGGCAGTGCAGTGTAATCCAGGCGCTAAGTGTAAGGTAGATAAATGGCTAATAACCTGGAGGAGAGAGATGATTCATCACTTCCTTAAATGAAGTTCATTAAAAGGCCGCCTGCAGACATACATCAGCGTCTCCAGATCATCTTGTTTGTTACAGTGAACCTGCTGTTAAGCTTTTTATGATTATCATATTCCCTGATATGAACAAAAAACTTCTAAATACTGTAGGGCTGTAGAAATGTCCTAATTAATCTGATGATATGTTTATCGCATTGGAAGAAGGTAACTTTGTACTGCAGGCCACTAAGGATTTTGAGTTATTTGTTTATGAGTTATTCATTTTGGAGCTACTTCTACATTTGAAAGGGATATGTTGTGTCTTTTCACTCTTTATACTACATTTATCTGACACCTTTAGTTACAGTTAGGGTTGCAACAGTATTTCTATAATTCACTTACAAGTCAAATACTATGACACTACTTTAATTCATATGTATATTAGAAACCAGAGTCTCGTAACCCTTTTCACTTACGACCCCTTGCAATAAAAATAAATTAGTGTCTGGTTTAATGTCTTTTTATGTTTTGTTCCTTGTTTCTTTCTTTATTATTGCCCTCTTCTCAAAACCTTACATTACCCACAATGCAACTCGGTCACAGGGTTTGTTGTTAGTGGCTAATGTAGCATCAAACCTCAAGCAGAGAAGATGAGCCAGCTAACGATTTCATCAATTGTTGAGTCTATGAAATATCAACAAATAGTTATTAAAATGCTCATCGTGTTCTCACAGAGCTCCTAAAATATCTTGACCAACAGTCCAAAACTGATAGTTAAATAACAGGGGTCATAGTAGTACTGACACAGGCACTCAATTGGAGTATATTTGCTACAAAATGACTGAAATGATCTTTGAAAATGATCCTTTATTAATGATTTTGTTGATTTAAATTCTGTCTATTGCCTTGTCGTTTTAGCCCTCAATAACAGACTTGTGCCATTTGGAGTGAAACCAGAAACAGATTTGAAAAACAAATACCCTGCTCCCAAACAAAGCTCCTGTCCTGACGGAGGCTCGGTGGAGCGGAGCGGCTGCTTACACAACACCGAGCAGCCTGGGAACAAACAGCCGCTCACTGTAACCCTGCCAACCAAAGTGGAAACTCCCCCACGCGTCCATTCATGTGAGGACGTACAGCCGCGGCCGCTTCCTCACAAACTGAGGCCCGGCCAGAGAGCAGCCATCGCTAGGCAACACTAGGCAGGAGGGGAATCCGCAGAGCCTGTTGCTCATCACACACACAACGGTCGGATATAATTGACACTGACGAAACAAAAAACCCAGAGGGACACATCGCTCGTCTTCGTGGTGCTTGATTCAGCAGCATGAAAGCATCGTGCTCTTCTGCTCCGGCTGCAGCGATTTGCATTAATTATCTCCACAGGTTCAAAAACAAGAATTCACTTAAGGACTGAAAAACAAACCAGTATCATGTTTCCAGGGTAAAGATTAATCTCTGGGATTTGAAACGTGATTCCTGAAATGTTGTCTGCCTCTCCAGGCTGCCTTTGTGTCCCGCTGTGCTTAAAGTGCATTTAATAGCTATTTTAGAAAAAGAGCACCATAACAAAAAGCTAGAGCGATTATAGAGACCATACTGCTACCAGAAAACAGCTAATTTAAATGGAATGTATCAGAAAGGTTTTTTTTTCTCGAAAATAATATTGAAACTATTTAAATTCAAATGTGTTTCAATCAACAAGCCTTCATCACAGCAAACCGTCTGCTTTGACTTAGATGTCTGTTTCATTTTTGCCTGCAGCTTAAGGTTATTTATCATCTATTAATGGTGGAAAAGTTTGCACACATAATCCAAAGTGCATTATTCAACTTGATGCTACCACAAAACCCATTGGATCAGTCACCTAATAAATAGTTTCATCTCTAGACAGCATAACAAATAAAATGGCTACTTGAGGAACTTATTATTTTTTGTCTGTTTTTGGAGAATGCAGTTAATATCGTGTGACGAATGCGAGAGGCAGAGCCACGTCTAAAATGGGGATCTTTGAGAACGTATGCAACATATTGGGTGATTTAAATAAACCAGAGTGGACAAAAACCACAACCTCTTCGGTAGAAAAATTAAAAATGACCTTTAAAGTAAAACAACTTCCTTTAAACCAGGACGAGTAGACCTGCTGTTAGGCGTACCCAACCTGATGAAGTCATTACCTGGTTGTTAAGAACATGAAGGTCCATCATCACACAGAAGGTTTCCTGAGATGATTCTGATCTAGAAATCCTGCACTGCAGTGGATGTTCAAAGTATTGCCTCTTGGATGTAATTAACCAAATAATTTGCTTTATTGAACATATAAGATGCCTTCACACAGGTAACAAAAACAGACAACTGATATGCTTGAAATGAAAAAAGAAAAACCCACATTTTATTGCACTTAAGTTATAAGAAAATAAAATTCTAAGTGAATCAAACAAATACACAATCCCTTTAAGGTTTTTTCTGTCTGTTTTCTTTTTTGCCAGGCAGTTTACATGAACTGAAAAAATAAAACACCTGCAACAAATCTGATTTCTCAAACCAGATCATAAATTAAAACAGAGGGAGAAAACAACGAGAGGAGATAGAGCAAGATTGTTTTCTTTTTTTCTTTTTTAATATACAGTGTTATACCACTTTCACAGTTCAGCTTGAGTTGTGACTCTTGGAGATTGAGACGATTTTTCGTTTGGCTACAATGTTTCTGTTTGTTGCCTTTTGTGTTTTTATTTTCCCCCACTGAGAATCCTGGAGGCGGTGATTTTATCTGCAACACATGTAACACTTAGACTCCTGGCAGCTCCACCTCTCAGCTCCACCTGTCAGCGGAGCTCGTGACGGTCTCCTCTGTTGCTTCAGACATCTTTGAATGAACAACACTCACACACGGATACGGACAGGTCTCTCATTCACGTGTTAAAATCGATACATCTGCAAGTTTTTTTTCTTTGCCAGTCCACACAGCATTTGTACATTTCCCCAGAGACCAGGCTGAAAGAGCGTTGTCCCAAGGAATGTGTTTACAAGTTGCCCGTTAACACGCTATCACACGCACTCATGCACACGCACGCACCAACAGTGTACATCCCCTTGGTTTCCTCTCTGCGGGCATCCCGTCAGAATCTGTCCGACACGCTCCCTCCGCTCAGCCTCGTAGAGGCACGTTTGGCTCAAGTGGCAAAAACAAACAAATCAAAACAAAAATGTCGGATGTTATCTTTTGTGATCTTTTGTTTCTTTAAGTCCAAACATATAAGAGTTCAATTTGGAATTTTGCCTGGGACTAAAACGTCACAGCAAGTAAAAGTTCCATCTCTCTTTTTCTATTTATCTAGCAGCATAAATACAGTTTGGCCACTGGGAGAAAACATTAGAGGGGGAAGGGGCTCGGGGGGGTCGGGGCATTAATCCTCAGCGCTTAGAGCTTCACTTCCTCCAGTCACAGCTCTGGCACCGAGGGAAACACCCCTCCCCCCAGACTAAACTCTGGACAGCGTAGATGTTTGTGTGGAGGCAGAGCTCTGAACCAAGGTATGTGGAAAACAGAAAGGAAGAACAAACAACTCGAATAAAAAGAGGAAAAAAAAAAAAACCTTTGTGACATAATGACAGCAAACCTAAACCGGGTAGGTTTCTAATACTGGGATTTGTTGCTGTTGGCAACCGCAAAGAAAGAAGAAAAAAAACAACATTAAAGAAACCCCTTTCATATGATAAACCAAGCACGTATTGAAATTCACAGTTGTGGTTGTGTGCGATACTGTAAAGAAACGATAGAAACCGGGTGGAGAGAGAACGGAGTGAGAGACCTGTTTACAGCTCTCTGCAGGTGGAGCTGAGCGGAAATCTACTTTAAAACGTCTCCACCTTCCTCTGCCTTCTCCTACAATGACTTCCACTTGGCCGTTTGAGTGTATGTGTGTGTGGGCGCGCACTGATGGGAGGGGGTTGTGAGGTGGGGGGGCTTTAAAAAATAATATATCTCTGTACATCTCAAAATCTGTCAGGCTTGAGCGAAACCAAGTCTCTGTGCGAAGCGGACCCCAGACCGAAAGGGTTGAGAGTCACTTCAAAGAGTTCAGTCGTCGTCAGTCGTTCCTTTTCTTCCTTCTCCCAGACCGGAACGCGCCCCATTTCCAGCCGGACCCCCCTCCAGCTCCACCATGTATCGGTGGCAGGGGCTCAGAGCGGGGGGCTGAACACGTGTGAGGGGTCAGAGGCTCGGTCAGTAACATTTGCCCAGAGGGGGACGGGGAGATGATGGTGGAGGTCAGCGGTGGTGTTGGTAGATTTGGATGAAGAGTTGTGGCCCTCCTCTCTCTCTCGGCCTCACCTCCCACTCCCTCTCGCGGCTCGCTCTCTTCCCCCCCGCCTCACTTCATGTCCACGTCAAAGTCCAGCACCAGCAGCTTGGTCTCCTCCGTGCCGTTGCGGCTGCCCACCGCACACACCAGCTTGGTGTTGGAGGCCCGGATGCGCCACACCACCCCCCCGCTGCCGCCGCTCTCCAGCGTCACCAGGTTCCTGATGAACTCGCCCGTCTTCAGGTCCCACAGTTTGACCGTGCCGTCGTCCGAGCTGGTGATCACAAAGTTCTTGTTGAACTGGAGGCACGTCACGGCGCTCTGGTGCTTGTGGGGGCCTGAAACACAAAGGCATGGGTGGTTAGAGGGATGTGGAGAGAGGATTTGCATGCATTCTCAATAGAGGAATATATTATGATGTTCTATATTTAGAACCTCAGCTAAATGTTTCCTGCGCTTTCGGTGATGATTAACGGCGGCTATTACTTTTGTGAAAATAACAGATTGTTTTCTTCTCCACGATCACGTGTATCCACTGTTAGTGTGCATTTTCAATCACACTTTGAGTTTGTTTTTTTTCAGATCATTTGGTTTCAAATACTACAATTTTATACAACATTTACTCAGAAAGTGAGGGGAATTTCTTGTTTCAACATTTTCCTAAAAAAATTGTTATCACCTCCACCCAAGAGGAGGTCGCCAAAGAGCAGATGCACTCATCATACATCCTTTTAATGAGTTTGTCATTTGTTTTGGACCCTTTAAGCTACGAGAGGCTTTCTACGTCCACTTTTCATCCTTTTATAATATAATAAAAAACAGCCATTTGTAGTTAAAGTGGACCTATTATGCTATATTGGAAAAATATATTGTAGGGCCATACCTATACAAAACATGTCTGTGAAGTTTTTTTGCTTAAAATACCAAACAGATCACCCATTGTAGCCATGCCTCATACTGCTCATACCCCTCTTTTGCAGCCCTGTTAGAGAATCGCGGATTTTGGGTCCTTAGCTTGAAAAAAAAGCTAATGCCTGATCAGAATTCTACCGGAGATAAAGTTAAATTCTGCTGTGATAAAACGCCATCCTGTTCTAAACCAGATCAAGGATTATTTCTGAAATAGTATGGAGCTCAAATGCTTTTTCTCTTGCAGGTTCATCACAAGGTGAGTTCCTTTTTTCATTTCCTGCTTTTTAAACACATGTGCTCTCCAGTACAGGTTAGCTCTGAGTGTTAGCGAGGCTTGCTAATGTAAAGAAAGACGACATTACGTCTAAAACACGTCAGGCATTGTTTCTGATAGCAACTTTCTGTGGTCCGCTGCCGATTTGACATCATGTCGGCAGCAAATCTGTATCTGCTCGTTGTACCCCCGTTTTTAAAAGATTTGGGTACGGAGGAAAAGAGAAATGGTTTTATTTTCTGACGCTGCGTGAGTTCCCCGACGCACCGGGGACACATATGTATGTATAAAAGACATCACAAAGTGCATTTTGCATGATAGGTCCCCTTTAAGTACTATAGTGGGTAGAGACGTGGATGTGTGTATTTGAAATAATAATTAAATGCAGAATAAAGAACAAAACGTCTGTGAGAAGGTGGGAGTTCTCTCAGTTCTCCCTGTGTAGTGCAGCGGGCTTCAGGCCTGTCACTGTCAGGGAGGCTAAGCTGCGTCACCCCCCGTCTGCTGGCAGGAGGCCACGCTCTGAGTGAAGATGGCGGCTGTTACTGCCTTCACTGAGGTGACTTTATTTGTGACTGTACGTGTGCAGCCACTTAACATCTCCCTAAGGGCTGGGAAATGATATCTTAATTGAATCAATTAGCACAACAAGCACAGAATCAAGCGCTGGCAAATGAACTACTTCGTTGTTTTTTTTAACTTGAGGTTGCTATAACTGCCATTTCATTTAGACGCATACAATTCCTTTACCTAATCATTTGCAGAGAAAATGTGTTGAGATCTCAACTAGCATTCCCATACTTTCCATTTCTGCACCAGTTCGTTAAATCCTGTTATTTATCAAGTAAACAATGTTGCTCTGCACCCCACCCCAACACCCTGCATCACCATAACAAAGGCCCCTCCATCATTACCTCCAGCCTCTTCAGCCGCCAGTGACGACCTTGTTTCAGCCCATTGTTTTATGAAAACTCGCTAATGAATAACAGAAATTGTCCGCTGACCTAATTATACGACCTACAAAGTCCCCAGGCCTTCATCCCTTCACTGTAATCACCCCTCTTCACAAGACACACACACCCTGATCCCTCCCTCTCTCTCTCTCTCTCTCTCTCTCCAGACTCCCACAGGGGCATCCTTTTGTTGGGTGGGGGTGTGTGTGTTGGTATTTGTGGGACCAGCACGCACGGCTGTAGTTTTCTAATGAGGGCATTTAGGGGCGGGGCGCTGGTGGCTGCTGCTATTCAGTGAGGATTTTCAACTTCCTGTGAGGCACCAGAGCCGCTGCTAATGGAGTTTAAACTATTCAACCAGACACAAAGGAGACGAGAGTGTGATCAGGAGCAGGGGGCCACTAGGTGTTGGCTCCCTGTCTGCCACACACACACACACACACAGGTCCTTTAAAGGCTAGGTTTTAATTGGAATGTCATTTTTAAAATGTGCTTTTAGATGTTATCACAACTTTTCTACACTGCAGTGGTTCTGCAGCCTGTTACTAAACTCACCACTTCATGTAACTTGCTAAATAAAAAAACTAGAGTTGCACCAATCCACAGTCGACCAATCTGTAACTATAATTTGATAACTGATTTATCCTTAACATGGTTATTTTAATGCGAAAATGGCAGAAATGATATTTTCAGTCTCTCAAATATAGAGATGTACAGCTTTTCAAGAAAATGTGTTACCGAAACAGCAGCAAATTCCATCACAAGTAAATGCAGCATAACATCGCCCCCTCATCTGTTCACAGTACTGTAATGAGCATTCTTGTCAGATTCATCAGAAACGTACTAGATAACACGCTCCTGCTGTACACATTGGAAAAAACAATTATTGTGTCTTGGTTTCAACCATTTTAACCTTTCCGCAGTGAAACAGTTACTTAATGAGGACGCTGAGCAAATAAGTTCTACTTTACTTCCAGCTAAGATAGAAAATGTATTTTAGGCCCCCGATGTTTAGAGGCATTTACATACACAATTACACTTATTTTGCCACATTCATTGTGTTGAATAGACAAATACCTTGAATTTGTGAGAAACTTTGCATTTTTCTAGCCACGCTAAACATGGCTGATGTAACATCCTGGGGGGGGGGGCAGACTCACCTTGCAGGGTCTGCAGGCACTGGCCCGTCTTGATGTCCCAGATCTTGACAGTGGAGTCTGCGTTGCCTGAGACCAGGATGTTGTCTTTGAGCTCCATGCCGCTGGTGAGGGACTGATGTCCTGTTAGTGTGTGGATGCAGTTCCCCGTCTCCACGTCCCAGACCCTTATGGAGGTGTCTAAAGAGCCGCTCACCACGTGGATCCCATCAAACTAGAATAAAGAGGAGATAAAAGTTCAAACTTTATCCCTAAAAGCATGCTGAATGTTTATTCATTTAAAAACTGGCTGAACATCAAGCTGCTGCTTCAAGGAAACATTAACTCTCGCTTTGGCTGTATCTACCTACACAGTATTCTTCTTTCCTATTAACAAACTTAAGATTAAAGTCATTGAAATGAATGAATTGTATTGATCTGTGAGGTTGCTTCGTGTCCAATAGTAGAGCATCAACACTTCTAAAGCCTAACGATGCAGCGGGCTACAGAAACCAATCTATCTGAGCAGTAAACTGCCTCCTCTCTAAAGGGTGATGGCACACACTGAAAGTGCAGCGTAATCACACAGAGTGGGCGAGAGGACATTTAGAGGACACGGGGGGATGCGTTTTAAAACCACCACAGACACACCCACACGTTTAGAGAGGGTACATTCAATCTTTCAAATCAGTATAAAAACATAAGCAAGATGGAGATAGAAATGGATTAGATTGACTTCATGGCTGTTAGTGTGCCACTTGCAAAGCAACTAACTGAGCACAAAAGTAGTATTTAAAATAACTGAATAATCGTACATAAAGTTAAGTTAGGGGTGTGACGGTTTCTAAAACCAATGTCCACGCTCTGGTGTCACTGCTACTTTCTCTGCAGCTCAACTTTAATGGTGCAACCCTTTTTTTGAAATCAAATTACTCCTTTTTAAGTTGCTACTTTCTAAAGCCTGTGGAAGAACTTTACATACAAATTGGATTTAGGAATAGCTGGTGCAACTCAAGCCTGCTGTATGTCCTAATGCAGAAAGTAAAGGTTCAACCTTGAAATGAATATAAGAACTAACTTTGTCAAGCTGAACCACATTTTAATCGCAAGCAAGACTGGCCTTTTTTAAGTAGGTGGGCTTAAAGAGACTATAAAGATGTGAGTTAGACGGAGAGGGAAAAGGGTATGCTCAGACAGAGGGTAGGAGAAATTATTTTTAACAAAAGAGCACGTAGATACGTTCAAGTAGAAATGCAAAATATCGAACTAAACCTGAGCAAAACATGTCACCTTTTTATGTCAAAATGCTGAAAACAACACCCAGAGTATGTGTCCACCGACTGTGTGTGTGCTCACCTGTAAGGAGTACACTCTGTTGGTGTGGCCCTGCAGCGTGTGGAGGCAGGTCTCCGTCTCGGGGTCCCACACTTTGACCATGAAGTCGTAGGCACCGCTGACCACCCGCCGCCCGTCGTACTGCACGCAGCGCACCGCCGCCACGTGGCCCATGAGGACGTGTAAACACTGACCGGTCTCAATGTCCCAGACGCGCAGCGTGGCGTCACGAGAGCCACTGACCACCCTGAGAGGAGCCAGAGAGAGGGAGTCAGGTGAGTGTGGGTAAACACTAAAAACATTAAGAGACAGTCAGGGTAAATGGGTCTGGGTTTAAAACTATCCTTAAGTCTTCACCTTCATTATGTTACATATTCTTTAGGATGACATTCATAATCTTCACAAAATGTCCATTCATACCGTGTCAGTTGCTTTGACAGAATAATGAGGAGGGTATGGACATTTTCTTTCACTTTCTGACACAGAGTAACCTACAGCGTCACATTCATGTTCATACTTGAAGGTACAATAACACCCATTTAACTCAAACAGCCGCCCTGCAGCAGTTTCTGCTCCCAGGGTGGAAACAGAAAGGATATATTATGGGTTATAGAAAGGGAAACTCCCTTTGGGGAAGATTGTTACAGAAGTATCACTTTTTTTTAATATTATGACTAGAGGGAGAGTTTGTACCACGGATACTATTCAGAGTTGTTTAGTTTTTTTATGAGAGAAAAATTAAACATTAAAATCTGGTCGCTTACACAGCTTTCCTTTATCTCCGTCAGAGACAGACAATCCTCCAGAATGATCTCTTTTCAAAAAGCATACTGTAATACACACAGAGCATACTCTTTGTTTTTTTAAAGCCTCACGGTGCTGCATAGATGGAAACCTTCAACATGTTGTTCACTGTCCGCCTGCAGCTCAGTGAGTAATCAAATGCTACACAAAAACCTGGGTGGCCCTAAGGCGCAAAGAGCTCTCCGAGTCTCCGGAGTGTAACGCAGAGAGAAAGAGTGAGCAGAGCTTCACTTAAGACGTCTCGCAGGGTCTATTGAATCACGATGAGACCACATGCTCACTTTCATAGATACTGTCCTCTCACTGAGATGCTCTTTTCCTCCGTGGGGGTCACTGTTAAATCAGGCGTGTTTCTAATAATAACAGAGCAAAGTAAAGGAACAGTCTGAATGCTTTTAAGCTGTCTTTCTGAAGGTTAGAAGACTGTTGTTCTTAGACAAATAAAAACACGATATAATGTGTTATTTTGTGAGCTTAGGAAATGTTTCTCTTGTACAGTTAGTCTGGCTATTTCCCTTTGCTTACGGCTTTTTTGCTAAGCTACACTTACTGTTTTTTCAGGTTCACTGTACAGACATGAGTAATAGATCCAACTATTAACTGGGTAAGTGAGGGAATAAGCAGATTTAGCTAGATATAATAACTTTTTACCAATAGGCATTTAAGATGTGTGATTGTTTGTAAAGCTAACTGAGTAGCATATTAAATAGATTTATTTAAGGCTGCAACTTAGCAATCATTTTCATAACCTTATTATTTTCTCAGAAAAAAAGGGAATAATCAACATTTCCTGAAGCTCATATTGACATCCTGAACTGCTTGTTCTGCGTGACCAAGAGGAAAAACTCTTTTTATATTAAATATTTTTGTTTAATGTCACATAAAATAATAAGGGCAGCAAATCCCCACACACTTGAGAACCTGGAACAAGGGGATGTTAAGCATTTTTGCTTGAAAAAATCTATTATCAAAAGATTAAACTGAATATTTTGCTGATTAACTCATCAATTAATCAACAAATTGTTTCAGCTCCATATCTGTTGGCTGCATTTGCATGATTTCAAAAGCCCTATGGTGCTGAAAACACAAGTCAGTTACATTACATTTATGGCTGAACAATGAGAGGGCTCCATACCTTTTCTCATGTAGGTGCATGCAGCGCACGGTTGAGGTATGCCCATAGAGGGTGTGGATACATTCTCCTGTCTCTGCGTTCCAGACCTTGAGTGTGCGATCAGTGGAGCCGCTGATAATAATGTTATCTCGCATCTGGGATGACCACACGCCCCCGGTGTGACCCACCAACGTGCGCAAACACTGCGGAAACAAAATGTAAGAGTCTTGATCAGCATGTTTCTCCCTGCTAACAAAGAGGGGGGGATGTTAGAAAAGTTAGTTTCAAAGACATTCAGGGTCCTTTCATTCATACATTTCACATTTGATTTATAAAACTTGTTAAATCACATTTGCATATTTCCCCCCGTGTGACCTCCTATTGCCTTCGGGGAAATAAAGACAAGTGAAATGAAATTTATTCGACCTTTTCGGTGGGAAAGAAGAACGCAGCCGATGAATACCTGCTGCTGCGGTGCTGGGACCAAATCTCCCCGTGAGCTTTTATAATTGCTTTTACTTATCTGTCTGAGAGCGGACGATTTACTCTCTTTGCAGAACCGTTTGACAAACCTCTTCAAATGTAAAGAAAAAAAAAATGCGTCCATTCATCGTCATTAGGGACGGTAGATTAGCTATTGATTACAGCAGTTATGGAAATCTATCTGATCTATTGAATTTGCGTCTCCACATTTTCCAATTTATCTTCAAATTTAATTAATCTAAATGAATTCAATTAAATTATTTGGAGAGAGAGAAGAGGGGAGCTGTGGACGTGGCCGCTGGTGATGTCAGGTTCAGAGTGAGCGTGTCCATGAAGTGTTGGACATGTGACCCCCTGACTGCAGCTGATAAGCCGCTGAGCAGTGAATGGCGGAGTGAGGTTTTATTGCAGCGAGTGAGAGAGGAAGAGACGATGCTGACGCCTGTCTCTTCCTCTCTGTCCTGTGATAAAGAGAATCACTTCATTAACTGAGGGCCAATGTGGCATGACCCGACAATCAACCTCACTCTGCTGTTAAAAGTCTTGTTTTATCACCTTGATCTTTCTCTTAGCTTCATACCGCAGTGAGAGTAATGATACTGCAGCTGCAAAAACATCTGGCCAATTCTTTTTTTTTTCACTTCATAACGCAGATTGGTGAATAATGTGATGTGCATTTTGATCTACATTTGTGATACATATTAGTTTTTCTTCTGCAACACTAAACCACAAGCCTGCAGTTTATTGCATTCCTACTCTCAAGGATGCAACATTCTTCTCCTAAATTGAAGCCAGTGGTCGAGGTTTTCAAGAAACAGAATCTCAGCGAGTGATTAGAGCTCCTGCAACACGGCGTGGGAACAGAGAAAAACCCGCAAAGAAGGGCTTAGGAGTCTTTATCGCTCTAAGAAACAAACATTAAATGAGGCTGTCGCTGAGAGGAAAAGGAAGATTTGCAATCTTTTAATTAACCTTTTTTTAAAACCCATGAGGGTTGTCCAACAATGCTTAACATTTGCATTATATAATACTGTTACTTTAAAGAAAAAACGGTGGGAGAAGTCCAGTGTTTTAGCCACAGGGCTGGTCAAATACTGTGGTTTAATCTTTGTATTGAAAAGGTCTTATATTCTCTGCCTTAGAAGGAATATCAGACGCGGTTGGTTTGCAAAGATTCAAAAGGAACGAGCTCAGGTCAATAAATCACATAATGGAGTCATGTTGCGTGATTTAAAGATCATGCAGGCTACAGCTGAATTAATTTCAGTTTATAGGATTACCCACATGTTAGTTCTTCAAAGATTAATTTCACACTTTGCCTGTTTATAAGGACAGAGAAAGATCTCAAGTGTTGCTGAAGTATTTCTACCCAGAACTTGTAAGATAAATAGTTTCTGCTTGGCTGAAAGTAGTAGTGTATTTAACACGGCTCCTAAGTAGATCTGTACATAAATCGAGATCAAGTTTGAAACGACCACCGCATCATTGGCGATTGCGGATAAATGGTTTAGCCAGTAAACTAAAAATCTTGCAAGTTTGAAACAAGACATTTGAGGACGTAATCTTAGGCTTTTGGAATCCCTGATTGACATTTTCCTACATTTCATTGTGTAAACTAATCGAGATAAATTCAAAGTAAATGAAAATAACCTTTTGAAGCAGCCTTGTTTGACAATTTAAGTAGTTATTTCCTCATCTCTAATCCTCTTAAAACTATTCCCTCTTCAGTTCACAGCTCCAAACGCAATCTCTTATCTCTGATAGTTAAAGAGGAGAGGTAAACGGGGTCTCCATGCAGATGAAGCACGTGGCCGAGGAGATCTCTCTCTGGGTCTGACAGCAGTCCACAGGTCGGCCATCTTAGATCTGCTGACAGGCGCCACCAGGGACTCCTCTGTTAACCAGCAGCCCCCCTTTGAAGTGATGAGCTGTGAGCGGCTCTTTGTGGAAGATTGACATTTTCCACTGAAGCAGGAGGACGCGCGGAGACAAAGGTCCATCAGGTAGAGACAGAGCGCCTTCAAGTGACGTCTAGGCAACCGCTGATCCAGCAGGAAAACAAGCTCGTCCAAATTCCTCCAGACAGCAAACCTGAAGTGCACATGCAGGCTCCAACAGATTCGTTGGATGTCACTGTAATTTCATACTCATTGTGTTTGTTCAGCCTCTGATGCAATGCTCTCACCGCAATAAAATCCCCATTGTCTCACCTGATCGCTAAGCAACGGCCCGGTGCTTTCAGAGGGGTGGAAGCATTTACACATAATGTGCTCGAACAATAAATCAGATTGAGTCACAGCAAGGGGCTCAACTCACTGGGTTAAATGTGAACAAATAAAAACTGGCTGCAAAAGACGAACCATTAGACGATATGTTGGAGATTTGGCAATCCTGCATTGATGAGAATTGGTGGAAATGTATAACATTAAGCCACGTTCATGCAAATAACCCAATCAGTAAGATAGGACACTTTGCTTTCTGTGCTGAAATATGCATGATTCACTAGGAATTATTGAAAACAAGAAATGGTCTTCACTAGAGAATTGATACAAATCTGTTGGACAATCTTGCCTCAATGATATCTGATGCCGTGTTTAGAGATTTGTTGGGGTTACTGTGAGAAACATGAGAAAACATTTTGAAGGTGCACAGTGAGGCAGCAGCTCTTGACTCGCCCCAAATTGTCCCATCACAGGGGGAATCTCTTTGATCGCTCGCTGATCGCTCTAAATTGAACACAGTGTTTGAGGAAAAGCAGCACAAGTGGCCGAGAAGAAGTGATAACGCTGCTCTACTTCTACCACAAATAGTCTGTGCTGTGACCAATTCCTTTTTCCATCCCATCGATTTAAATCCTCCACCTGCAGAGCAAGAAGCTTTCTCTCTGTAGGAAGAAGAACATAAGTAACTGCTGATCTCTGGAAGTATGAGCCAATTTAATCTTGTAATCTAAAATCCGACCAACTATTATTGCTTTGACTACTTTCTGATGAAGAATCAACGACCCTAAATCAAATAAACTATCTCGTCGGAGCAAGAAGAAAAGAAAAGAAAACCACATCTCCAGTCTAATGGCTCCAGGTTTCAAAAGCAAAGCTTTTAAAGACTAATGTCAGAGTTCTTCATCTCCGTTGATCACCTGCTATCTCTTATTGATCCAATACTGCGTCAGACCTGAGTTCAGCGTTAGAGGCTGAGCCATGGAAGACTACCTGGAGCTTTGTCTGAAGATGGAGGATTAATCTAAGAGGTAAAAGACGGAGGAAAGTCAAATAAAAAACTTTTAAAAAAGTACGATTATGGAGTTGAAATGTAAAGGACAAGATGAATGGATATTGGCCGTAAACTGGGAGCCACAAGATAAACTCTTCCAAGAAACACGCAACACCTCGACGCCGCTGCTAGCCACTTTACAGGCCGGAATAGGTCTGGACAAACTGAGGATCAGGAAAACGTAACCATCAAGTCTAAAAATACAATGGCAGAGACTATAGAAGAGGTGGACAAAGAAGGAGAAGCAAATGCAGTTGCTGGTAATCCCATGTTATTTTACGTTCTACAGTTTTCCTGTCAACAGCCACTTCACCCGAAATGGCCGCAGAGGCTTAATTGGCCGTTCCTCTCCATCTCTCTCTGGAGATGAGAGCTAAGGAAGCAAAGAGATGAAATCCTCGGAGGGGGTTGTGCTCTGCATACAGCACCCAAACAGAAAAAGGATTTAGACTCATCTCTTCTCCATGAGTAACGTAAACACACAAATCTGAGGCGGATTAGCGTGGTAGAAACCTCAGACAATAAACTGAGCGTGTGTGACGTGGGTCTGCATGCAGGGTGGTTCACAAACAGCATCAGAGCGAGGCTGATGGAGATGTGAGTCATCGCAGACGCTCACCACCGACATGCTGAAGCTGCAGCTCCACCACCTGTCGTCCAGATGTTGGTCTGTGGGTGAGGGAGAGCAGAATCGTGCTCCACGCCTATCCTATGACCTTGACTCGGATCTGTTCGGATCTGCAAACGCTGTGACTGATATGCATGAAATCACCAGTTGGCTCAAAGGAAACTTTCCTATCTGTTGGACTGAGTCTTTAAAGCAAAGAAAAGCTCTCTGGTCTATTGTGCTCGACAGAAAGAGAAACCTACTGCAGTGTGATCATGCAGAAAATCTTCTATAGAGACTTTCTTACATTTTTCATAGCCAAAGATTATCTCTATTATCCGCTCAGTTAAAGTGAAACGATTAGAGGGGAATTATTTCAGTTAGTTTTGACAATGGAGTCCAGCACGGAGGCATGAAGGTGCTGTGATTCACAACAATCGGTGAACCTCTCTCCAACCCGACCACTGCTTTTCTTTTGAATACACGCAGCAGCCAAAGCCTGTGTGGCTGCAGCGGCCCCAGCTATGAATACTAACACCTCGAACGGACATGTGCTGTGTAACAAGTCTGCAAAACGGCCAAATGTAATGCAGATCCAGAGAGGATGTGTTCATGTGACGGGGAAAATTGATTATAATAATTAACTATCAGGTTAGTGGGAGCTGGACAGATGTATTTAAGTTAAAAAAATATGTATTTGTTATGGTTTCAAAATCTCCTTTCTAACGGTTAACTGAACATCTTTAGGCGTATTCACACCGCAGTACTTTTCCCACAAAGGTTCATCAGAACTCTTTAGTTCTCATGAACTAAGTACAGATCGCGTTCACACCGGAATAAGTTCCTGGGGAAGGATTAGGCAAATGAAGCCGCTGACGTCACTTCTTCTTCTTCTGCTTTGGATTTACTGGCAGGCCGCAAACCACTTCACGGTGTATACTGCCACCCGGAGTCCCCGGCCGGAAGTCCCCGGAGTTGGGGACTGGCTTCAGTAGAAGCTGCTGGGACTCCCAGCAGCTTCTACTGAAGCCTTCTGAGTAAATCGCCAGAACGCCGACACCTCCTCATCTCCACCGCTCCCATGTTTTATTTTGTGTTGCCATAAGTTAGTCTCTCTGCGTTTGTGCGCTGGGCGAATGCTAATGCTAATAATGCTAATGCAAGGATAATAAAATGGCGGCTTCACAAAACTTTTTTGGAGTTTTACGGGGCGTGGTTTGCAATCCGCCCAGCCAATCAGACATAGGAACCTTTTTCTCCCACGAAAGTACCTGCTCTCTAGCAGGGACTGAAAAGGGGGTAAAAAAGGTTCTGATGAACTAATTTAGTTCCGGCTCTTTTTGGTGTGAACGCGACATTTCGGAACTATATCGGAACTAAAGTGGGAAAAGTACTGAGGTGTGAACGCGGCTTTTGAATTTTAGGACATCCTCTTCAGTTTTGGGAGACAGCTAAGAAGATTTTTCTGATACCTTATAGACCAAAATCGAATCTATTAATTGAGAAAACCTTATGTTCAGCCTTACTATCAAATATAAAAGTTTTCATGTAAGTAGAGCATACTTAGAAATGACAGGCAGTCCTAAGATAATTTTGCAAAAGTAAGACGATGTCTCCTTTACTTCCAAATCAACAAGTCTAAAAAATGAATGAAGTTAATTAAACTGCAACTAGATGTCTTCAGGGCATTCATGTCTGAGAGCAGCGCAGAGGAAAACGGAGCCATTAAGATAAAAAGAAAGAACAACAGGAAGCAGAAAGCAGTTATCCCTTACCTTTCCTGTGATGGCCGACCACACTTTGAGCGTGTTGTCGTCCGAGCCGCTGACGATGCGGTTGCCACAGAACTGCAGGCAGGTGATCACGTGGTCGTCGTGACCTTTCAGCACCTTCAGGTGGGACAGGGAGACAAAGAGAGACGTGAGAGTGAGAAGGACACGGAGGACGGGGGGGGGGATGCAGGATGACACAGCAAGAACTGAGACTGACAATGACACGACTCTGGTGCTTTGAACATCAAAGAGGAGATAAGAGGCAAATGCCATCAAGTGCTGCAGGTGTAAAACAGTGTGTGTGCGCGAGTGCGTGTGTGTGTGTGTGTTATACTGGGTCACAGGACTGCTAGCTCAGCACATTACAGAGTACACTTCTTATGCATAGGAGTATGAAGAGCACACTAACGGATTTACATCAGCGGTGGCCTAACACGACCCCAGCTGTTTCTAGAAGAGCATGAGGCACATTAAGGAGCCGCTCTAGCATGCAGGTCAGGCTTTAAGTGAAACTTCTCAACAGGCAAAAGACAGATGAAGTCTTTAGACTGAAGGACAGTGCTGCAGCTCAATCTTTCAACATCAAATACTGCAGAGACCTGGCCTATCAGCAGCTTTCCATCAACCCCGGTGACTCGAAGCCATTTCATATCAGATCTCTGTGGAGTTAGGAGGGAAAGCTACCTTGGGTGATTTGAGGTCCCCTCTCCTCCAGTTGGTGTCTATTCTGTGCTGCCTGATGTAGGCACTCTTCCAGGGGCTGTGGGTGAAGCCAGGCTTGACGATTTTCCTCTTCTTAAGGGGCAGAGGCTCATCGATGCCTGTGAGGAGAGAGAGGGAAACAGATTGGACTCGATTCACCTCTTAAAGTTTATTTTAAAAACAGGTACAACCACATCTTTAGGTGTTGCTTCACAGCGGAAGCTCCAGACTGCGCCGCCGGGGGCCTGCATGTCGTCTGTCGGCAGCTGTTGCAAAGACTGGAGACTCACCTTCCTCCCTGCATTTCTCCCTCCACAGCAGGTTGTCTTCTGCCAGGATGCGCCAGTAGCGACACGTCTGGGCCGCTTGGAGGAGATCCTTCGGTTCCAGGAACGACAGCACATACAAAGCCAGCTGTTGAAAGAAGAGGGCGAGGAATATGAGAGGTGTAAATGGAAAAGAAGATACAAAAAGGAGCCATTATGCGCTGCTGCGGGCGTATTACAGCAGTATAAACACCGCACAGAAGAGGTCTTTAAATTTGCAGTAACCAAATCACAGTAACAATAAGGAGCAGCTGAGAAAACACACTCGCCGAACAAACTGTGTCCACAATATTAACAGCGTGAATCTAACTGACAGCGGTAGACAATGGTGTTACCATGTAATTGCATTCCCACTTCTATTAAAGCTTAAAAATACACAATAGGAGATCACAGTGATGGTATTAATGCCAGGGCTACAGTTCGTTAAGCCAAAGCGCCATAAAAGATACAAACCCTGCTATAATGAGCATAGATCTGGACCCCTGAGAAATAGAAGAAAAACCCACTATATTCTGCTGTGTTTTTCAGACCTATTCAAACAGGACTGTATTTGGACAAAGGTCTGATCACACTGTCTGTAGATACGAAACAAAGCAGAGGGTAAACCATGGCTCATAAAAAGACTAGGATTATGGGTTTATTTTGTAGGATAAGGTATAACTCGTTATGCAAATATTGTCCTTTTATTATATTACAATAATCCAAAAATGATAACGAACCACTGCACGCTGTGTGAAGAATTCAGGAGCCGTGTCATAGACACCAGGATGATCAGGGGCCGGTTTCACAAAGGCATTTTGGACCGGTTTGTAATGTCCTCATTGTTGCCCTTTAGACTGAACAATGAATAGTTTATAATTCCTCAAAGCCTGAAGTGAAGTATAATAGCTGGTTTAATTAAAAAAAAAAATTCTGTTAATGTAATTTAAGACGTGGTCTCTTTCTCCTCATCTCCTCACATTTGAGAAGCTGTAACCAGATCATTGGTTGGGCAATTTTGTTGCCACATAAAAAATAAATAATATTCATCAACATTTTTTCTCCGGAAATAGATTTGGAGTCGTTTCCTTGTTGTATCTGACTTCTTGCAGTTCACAACTTCTTTGACAACATTTTAAAGAAGCTTTCATGCAGTTTTGTCTATTTGCTGCACATTTTCCGGCATAAAAGTTTAATTTAAGGGTTATTTAAAATCGTATGGTCCAGACAAGACCCACAAACCTTGACACGCCTAAAAATCACCTGAAAGCTCGTCTAAGCCAGTAGTCATTACCGGGCTTCTGGATATATGAAAAGTTTTATGAATGGACCCAGAGCCTCCGGAGATTGCTTTTTGAGCCCGGACACACCGCCTTCTGCTGATTCTCTTCATGGTTTCAATTTCAACTGTATCTGTAATGCAGCCGCAGGGATTGTCCTGTTCAAATTACTTGACAAACCCCCTCAATATATCTCAAGCAGCTCAGGCAGAGAGGACAGACAGAACTATCAGAGGCAGTCAGAGGGACCAAATGAAAAGAGAGGGCTCGTGTCCTGGTGAGAACACACATGACGATGTTGTTTATTTGGCTTTAGAGCCGGAGGTGCTGACACCTTGAAGTCTTGCATCCTGTTGCCTCACCCTTTATGCTCTCACCCCCCCTCCTTTCATCACAACACCTGCCAGAGAGACAGGAGGCGCGGTTTGATCAGCTACACCAGATACGATGGATTGAGGCTGTTCTGTGAGCGCCCCTCATGTGATGTTATCGTCACTGAGGCACTTCGGGGTTGTTTGTATTGTCAGTTATGATGCGGAGGAAAAACAGACACCCTGCTATGATGTTGTTTGTTGCTCTGAAGGATGCCTGCGACGGAGTTAGGGCTGGAGAGAAAACCTTGTCTCTGTCACATATTATACATTAAAACAATGTCTACCACGAGGGATCCCCGCAGGACTCAGTTGTGTACTGATAAGGGAGACAGGGATTCAGGGACTCACCTCTTTGGGCAGCAGGGAGATGAAGTCTCGCTGAAACTGCGGCTCGATCACCTGCATCATATGCTTGACTTGTGTGGGCTCACAGCTGTCAATCAACTCATCCAGCGCCAGCAGCTTCTCGGGGCCAGTCCAGCTCTGCAACACATAAGAACGGGGTTTAAAACAATGTCATATCCTAGATAACATACATTAAGGCTGGGTACCAGTACCAACATTCAGGTAAATGAATTGTTTAAGATATCCATTTCTTACTCTATTTGTGTTAACAAAAATAACTCCAAACTTTTAATTCCCTCTCCCCAATATGAAAGTATACCGAACGCCCTTTATCAAGGCTAAAACTAATATTATTTCAGATTTCTTAATTATCCAGTTTACCATTGGCATGAGAGTTTGGACAGTAATGCATTGTTCTGCTTGCTATTTAAATACACCCTGTTCACTAATTTTAAAATCAAAATGTCCATCATATTCCTATAATTTAATTTATTTCCTTGTATCTAGGTGGGTTAAGTGACTGTAAAGTCTTTAATGTATACACCAAATCATGTATCAACACACTTTCTACTGTGGTTTATGAGAGTTCTTTTCTCATAGGATATCAGTAAGACATTGTTGGCTTTCACAGTCTCCTGCTAGCTTTTATTTGACTGAAGTCTTTACTCTCTGTATTCTCTCTGTACTGCCCACTCCAGAGGTTCTCATAATAAAGGGAATAACCATTTTTGGTTATACCAGGTGGTGTTCAGGAGTTTAAGTATTCGCCACACCCAACACAGCTGTAGACTTAAGTGTTAACAGAAAAACATAGCAGCGTGCCGTTATGGGCTGATCGCGCCAACTTATAGAGCTCAAAGTAGACGTCTAAGCGTGTCAGCTCTTAACTTGGAAACATATACGGCCGCGTGCATTGTGTCTGTAACACGTTAATGTTCGCTACGTGCCCTCAGTGGCAGCCACAGTAGCTCCAGGCACCTTCCTATTTCTATCAACAAACACATTAGTGGAACATTTGAACATCAGGAAGCAGACTACCAACAACATCATCATCAGAGCCCTGTGGGATTATTTCTCCTGCCCGTACATTCAGTCCTTTAACGGCAGCTGATGACTATGTTGGACCCATCGGTTGTTTTCCTCTGTGCAGTGCAGAAATCTAACAATGATTACAGGCTACGAGGCAGGATGGAAAACCTGGCACATGCCAACCACCTGTAATTTGGCCGCTAAAAGCTCCAGCCAGAGGTTCGTCTGGAGGTAATCAGCGGGTTCAGAGACCTCCTCCCTGCCAACGGGACGACCGTGCAACAGCTACTTATGTTTTACCTCAGTTTTCTGCCATAGATTATTGGCATGCCGTGTCTAAAGAACTGCAGGTTCACAATTACCTGAGATGGGATTTTTTACTTTAAACTGTTAGTAAGGCCCCGAGCTTTTGGTTGTTATGTTTTCATAATGCAGTTTGCAATATCTCATGTTTAATGATGAGAGTGTGGTATTTACTTTGCAAAGGGTGTTTTTTTAAATGAGTAGTTTGTCTATTTGAAAATTACAAGCAAGATTTTCAGGAAACTTGGTGTGGTGTGGGCTAAGAAGAACATTTTGGAGCGTATCCAAATCACAAAGAAGATACATGCAATATTTTTACACATATGAAACAATCCTGGTGGAGGTCATAGCTCTCCGAGAGCCCTTTTAAGTTGAGTACGCTTCTCAGGACTTTAAAACTTTTGATTCTGGCGTATAGAGCTGAAAAAACTCAGATTGTTGAATATTTATTTGAATATGTATTCTTAGAGTTTCCCACTCCTGCGTCAGTTACTAGATTCTTACATTTCCAAGAATTTTTGACAGTAATCCCCTGGCAAAAACCAGGAGTTAACAACTCACCGATGCATTGAGCAACCGTGCTGATACAATGCTTCTGTTCAGACATGCAGGGAAGTGTTAAGTATCTGCTAAAAGAAACTTTTATAGTATCATAAAGATTGAAATCAAGTTGCGTAACTGATAATTGAGCTTTGATTACCGTGAGACACTAAAGAGGCAGTTATTTTAACTTTTATACTACCTGTGCTTCATTAGGAGAACATTATGTGTATTATGTGTTATTTAAATGTTTCTTAAAAGTTTACCAATGTATTGTATCAGTCCAGAAAGTTGTGTGATGCCTTTTCAACTTATTAGCCCTCAAACTAGATATATTATTTAATGACTGAGCTTTAGAGGTGCAAGTAGGCTGATTTAATACCAGAGGATGTAGCCAGGCTAGCTTTTTAGAGTCTTTATGCTAAGCTAGTTTGCTGCAGGCTGTAGTTTTATATGTAATGGAGACATTAGTGGTTGCAATCTTCTCACTAAAAGGGTGAATTAGTGTATTTACAAATTCAAAAATTCAAACTAATTCTTAAATGTAATGTGCATCCTTGTGCCCAAAATAACACAAGGTATTTGGATATGTGTGTGAAACCATTCTTTCTCACTATGAGCTACAGGCTAGGACTGGACTGGGAATGTACAGAATGTAAATGCAGCGCAAACGCCTGCAGCCCTCGCTCTTTAAATTAAAAGACAGTAGACTGCAGCAGGTCAAGCATGAAGACTGATATACGTAAAATAAACACTGAGGTGTCAGAGGATCGCCCAGCTCTTCAAACATAATGAGTTAAAGATCTCTCGGGTAATAGAATGCCTGGGCTAATCTATTATATATTAAATCAGAGAGACCCCTTCAAGCGAATATGTTTAAATGGCATCCTATTTCCATGAAGTCTGAATTTATTAGATGAGTTTTACTTGAAAGAAATGGCTCTATTATGTTACATTTGTAGAGACCATAATGAGGAAGTAAAAGTATACACTGAAGGGCTTGAAACAAGATACAATAAGTCTTTAAAGTTTCTTAATCATGGACCACAAGTCGCCCATACTGTCCTATGATAATGCAGTAACAATACATGACGAGGTGACAAAAAATACTGCAGTGACTTAGACTTCTTTATATCAGAGGGCCAAAGACGTATCTTCGGCTTTTAGTTCAGACAAAAGGTCTGAAGCAGGAACTTGTGATGCTTTAACTCTGCTTTTAAGTCTGCACAGGTACGGCTAATTCCAATTCCACGCTACAGTGACTATGGTAATGTGGTGGGCCCCGACAACAAGGCAGCAATTATCTCTGAGACTAAGTGAGCATTGATTGGGCTCAACATCTGCTTTTTGATGAGCTTTTGCTCCAGGGGTTTGAAGGTGCCCAGGTGGGGGTAAAACTAAAAAAGACAAAAGGAAAGAAGTTGACTGTGCTCACCTGAAATGTTCGGAGCCATTCCTGGAGCCCCGTGGGAGGCTGGATGGAGGTGATGCGCCGTCTCTGCTGCCCCTGACCGTTGGCTGCTCTGATGTGGCCAAACGTGGTGGGTGTGGCCGGACATGGGACAATTCCTGTCGGACTGCAATTTTAAAAAGGAAAGAAAAACCTTCAAAAACTAAAAATAATATGAGATCTTCAAAGGCAAATGGCCTACTGCAGACATTACGGAGAAGACTTAAAAGCTCTACTCTCTACATGAAGTATGGTAACAATATGGGAGCATTACATATTACGGATGCACGATTAATGAGAACAATAAGCTCAATATGAGGATTTTTTGTTCTTCTGGGTCCTTTTTGCTGCTACTTTTAAAGATTTGTCAAATCATTTTGTAGGCATTTAAGACACATAATGGCCTATGGGTCACTGTAACAGCAAATAAGTAGGTTTAATATTTAAGGCTGCATTTAAAACTGAAACATTATTGCCAATTACTGATTTAGCTTTTGCAATAAAAGTTGAAATACACGTTTGGGAGCACGTTTACTCTGCTGGGCAAATGGAAATAATGTTTCCTTTTCACATTATGATAATTCCCTTAACTTACCACCACTCTTATTGTGTACACTTAATGGCAACATGAAATGATTTGTTTAGGATTATAATGGAAAAATATCTTTGAATTATGTAGGGATATCACAGTTGCTATTGAAGCTAAAACATACAAATCCTGTTAAAAATGTAAATAAGATGATCTTATGTCCATATCACACATGTTCTAGTTTCAAATGAAATGTTATATAGGTCAGACAAGAAAAAGCTAATTTGATGTTCAGTGTGGCAAAATCATAAATATTTGCCTCCAATATATACTTTACACTCAGAGACTTCAAAGTATGCACACTCCCACAGACGTATGTTCGTATACACACTCTCCTGTTGTAATAACCTGGGTGTAGAGGCAGTGCAGGACTTCAAAGACCCCCGTGTGCCCTCGCTATGTGAGGGCAGCGGGCCGGTCACACCCTCAACACTTCCATTCTGCTCGCTTGACAGCAAAATGCAAAGCTGGGCTCCATTTCATTATTGATTCATTTTTAATGGGAGGGGAAGCTGAGCCAGCTACACGGCAACATTTACGGTTAAGTGGCTGTGTTGAGTCTGAATTTTAATGTGGCTACATGTGAACACACGCATTAAATATTCAGGTTGAGGGAAACATGTGGGACGGCTGGATGGACGCTGGAGATACAATATGATGTGAAGCATCATTCTGTTTGAAGACACATCGCATCTTTGTTCACGCCTCTAGATGTCTTCTCATTATTTCTTTTCATGGTGTGGGTTCATTTGAAAACATGTACAGCACTAAAATAAGGATATATGGCTGTGCAACTCTTCTAAGACCCTTTTAAGCCTTTGAAACAAATGTAGGACACCGCAGGACGATTAAATTGGGAGAAGGTGTTTCTCTTTTGGGAGACTTGGAGTTGGAATCTATTTGCTTTACCTTGAATAGTCAGAGCCTTTGCAGGGCTTTTTTCCTGAAGGGAAAGATCGGACCTCGGGGCCATGGTCCAACTTTCTCTTCATCTGAGAAAGAAAAAAAAGACAAACATTAGAAACCATCAGAGCATAACAATGGAGGAGACTAGAATGTAAAACCCCAACACAGGAAACTAATTATCACAATGCATCCTTCCGAGAAGTAAATAAAAACAAGCACAATATATAATTTGGCTGGAGAAGGAGGCAGTCCTGGTATGTGTTGTGTAATCCATCATTGCTTCAAAAACAGTCACTTTTCTTTTTGAGTGAAAAGCCAGTTCTTGCAAAACAAATTTAAAAAAGGACACGCCTCACAGAGGTTTTTAAAAAAAACATGGGTGGAAGCAGAAAATTGCTTTTGTAAGTCACAGACTTTGTGAAAAAACATTCTGTCTGAAATCCAGCGTATTAAAAACACGGCACAGTCTTGCAACAGCTTTATGCAAATAGGGAATTCAACTTGAATGCATCGGCTACAGATTTAATGTATTAGCATGTTCAATAGCAGCTCTGTTTGTAGATGAGATAGTAGGATACAAAGCAGGTGCTTGTTGAGCAACCAGACACCCCATAATATCCAGGGGCAGTCACACACTCATCTCCGAGTATACATGCAAACAAGATAACCACAATTTACAGAAACTGCTCCAGGGCGGGTACAGGGTGCAGTCTTTGGCATTGAAGTTGTGTTCCGTACTGATAATTGACAAAAGAAAACACAGCGAGTCGGTTCTTTATCTATTTCCATCACCTGCATGTGCTCACACACACCCAAGCCAATCCCTGTTAACACCTACCCAACTGCACAAACAAAGGAGCCTGTGTGAGCCCGACGAAGCCAATTTTCTTCTCATCCCGTGCCTGCCACTCTCTCTGGCGAGCCTCCCTCAACACACATGCAAGTGATCACCCTCTCATCGCAGGTCCCTCATGATACACAAGCTAACGGGAGAAGTGTGAAGCCAAAATAAGATATACAATGCAACACTGTGGCCTTGTTCCTTGATTAATTAAACATGTTTAAATGAAAGCTTAGCAAGATCCGATCACTGTCCATCAGTTTCAGCCTCAAGGAAAGACAAAAGGACATTTCAATTTTTTTATTACACATCATCTAAAATCAGCAATGCAAGAGCCACTCGCAGAACCACCGTGGAGATTAATTATGTATTCCTGCATAATACATAATTATGTATTAACTTGTTTTTCACAAGGTATTCAAAATTATATTTTGGGTATAACAATCATTTCTTTGTACTTTAATTTAGGGTCAAATTGGATTTGTCAACAGATGCAGTGCAGCCTGTTGTGCTGTAACACACAATCTGTGCTACAAATGTGTTGCAGAACTTCCATCTCCTGCCTTTGTAGAAACTCACAATGGCTTTCAGAAAAGCAGAAACCACATTCAAAATACACTTTTTTTCCTACCTTTTTGAGGCAAACAATTCTTTATTTTATGTTTTTTTTTAAAGAATGTTATTGTAGTATTGGACCCTACACAAGGAAAAGCTTTTGACTCCATCCTGTCTGGCTCTACAGTAGCATGATTACACGTCTCTCCTCAAGATGTGTGTTTTTTGTTTATCACTATAATTTAGCGAGTGTATTTTTCTCTCCGTTTTTTCAGCCTAAGAGGCACATTTAAGTTGAGAACACCACATAGTATTTCAATGGTGAGAAACAATACAGAAATGCAGAGAGATGAGCGGGATTATAAACAGGCTTCCCCATCTCAGTATGTAAGCTGGACTTCAGAAGGAATCAATGCACCAAATGTCTGAGTTTATAGAGGCATGTGTACATGACCAGCACACCAACTCTTACTGCAGGTTAGATGCCCCCTGGACATTACTCTGTGATCTGACCAGTCATTTGTGATATTTCCCTCACAAACTAGCTCCTGTGTAAAGCCGCAGGGGGGATTCAAGGGAAGAGCCATGCACATCTTGAGTAATTTGTTACGGAAATACAAAGAAGAGGCACTTGGAAATGTAATCTATGTGGCAAAAAAACAAGGATATTAAGTCTAAATGCCTTCAAATAACTTAGTAGGTCTATGTTTGACATTTCTGGCTGACACTTTGTGTGCTAGGAATATAAAACGGGGGGTTTATAAAATATTCTTGCTTGTTAAGATCCGGCTCTTAAACCCAACTGCCTTGTTCTTAAAGCGGTGATCTCACTGCAATGGCAGTTCAGTAGCCAAGGAGAGCTTGGGTGTGTGTATGCATGAATTTGTGTGTGTGTGTGTTTCTGAGAGGGAGAGAAAAAAGGGGGAGTGCTGGTTGGCTTTGAGTGTGTGTTCATGGAAGAAAACCTCAAACTAAATGCGGGCGTGGAAAAAAAAAAGCTGCATGTAACCAGCCTCTACTTGTGTTTCAGCCTGGGAAAAAGGTAACCAGAGCGCGCAGTGTTTGTAAATCACCACTAATCACTCCTCCCCTCCTTCCTCCTGGCGTTCCCTCCCCTGTCTGGCCAAGAGTACGACAGATGGATACACACAGAGTGTTAATGGTGTTTTAAAGACAGCAATCACTCTTACATAAAGTGTTGATTCATTTCAACGCAGACTACATCCTGCAGCATCAGTCACTTGAGGAATATTTCCTCATTTCTCAAGTACTGTTTCAAGCAGCCATGAAACCATTTCATCATGTCAATCAGCAGCACTTGAGAAGAGAAACTCATGCAAGAACTGGCCATTTTGGAAAGCATTTGTAAGTTGTTGGGGATCTATGAGCACCGATCAGTCCAGAAAATGGGTTTAAAAAAATGAAAAAAATCAGTCATGGCATTTCAGATTCAATCTTTACCATCAAAAGAGCCACATAAAGATATTCAAGCTTGAGGCGGTGACTTCAAATCCTGATAATATATGATGAGAACAAAATGGAGAGCACAAAAGGGTCAGCGTTCAATTCAATAAACTATTGGCCATTGATTCAGACTGGCATTTTCACTCAATTATAACTAATTGAGTAAAACCTTCAACACTACACACAAAGTGCACACGGCTACACAAAGGGAACAAGAGAGTATGACTCTGAATGAAAGGTGATTAACAGTGTTGACAGTACACACACACACGCACTGCGTAATGCATTCCCTTTCATATTCTTGTTTGTACTCAGCTTTTGAAACTAAGGGAGCATCTTTTCATGGCTGCCGTCCAGCTCAATACACCCAACATCCTTGAGGATATTCTCCACCTCACGCAGTCTGACACAGTGACCCATTATCTGTGGCTGGAGCCTGAGGCGAGCGCACAATGTTGGGGGGGATATCTGCTCCAACAGGCAGTAGCAGACTGATCACATGCATGCATCTCAAGCAGCCACTTTGGTCACTGCAAGATAACCACTGCTGCATAATGTGGGATCATAATAACCCTGCAAACTGGGAGGATTGCAGAGAAAACTGGCTATTTGTGTTCCTGGAACTGGTTGTTTATTACAAAAGTGTTAGTATAAATGTTTAAAAACATATAAGGTGGTGATATCAGCCCTTTATATGTAGTATATGTTATAACTAGAAGAGGGGGAGTAGAGGGGAGGACCCCAGTTGGTGTACAGGTGCAGGAGGGGGTATCGAGCCAACGATGAGGCAAAATTGGGTTTTATTCCAGCCAGAAACAGGGGATTCAATAGTGAATAACGTGGAAATATGAACATATTTATATCCAGCAGTGTAGAATGAAATGCCCTTAAGTGCAATAGCAGCAACCCTAGTACAACCATTAGCTCTGATACAGTGGCGTTTATTTACAGGGCTGAAGTTACTACGGAAGAACGGATGCCAAATTGCGTCGTGATTGAATAACATGTAACGCAGCGCTAACATAACATAAGCAATAGGGCCCGGGCAATTAAAGCGCCGTCTCTGGGGACGAGCTATACCGCCGCGTGCATCCTCCGCAGTGGCCGTGCAATCTGCCGTGAGAGGCGCGTCAAAGATAATGAGGGCGACAGAGCGAGTCAAAGATAATGAGGGCGACAGAGCGAGTCAAACACTGGGTGATAAGAGACGGGGATGTGTTAGAGGTTAATGCAACCAGAAAGCCTACTCACTTTGTAGAAAATCATCTTTAAAGTGCCGTAGAACCCCATCCTTGTAATCCGGTGTGTTTCCCTTTTTCCTCTTCAGTGACAATCGGTGAAGTCCAAATGTGTGCGCGCGGAGGGGAGCGAGCTGTGACAGTGCGAGGGCAGCGGACTCTCAGGTAAATCCGTCTCTGATGTGAACATGCTCGGGCACGTCACTGGACAGGCGTGCATGCGGTAGATCCCACCGGTATATGCATTAAAGCAAGAAGAAGAAAACAAAAAGAGAGAAAGAGAGAGTTCCGCGGTGTGACGCTGATTCAAATCTGTCTGTCGGCGGGCTGAACAATGCGATGCGACGATTCTGGAGGCGTGTGCGCCGCCGACCAGCCTCACCGAGGAGCAGGGAGTGAGCAGATGAGGGAGAAAGAGGGTGACACTCGGCAGAAAGGGGAGGAGTGGAGAGCGTCAGAGCAGCAGAGCAATGCCCTCTCCCTCCTCAAACAGGATCGGATTACAGCCTCCCCGGTGGAGACGGTAGGAATGGTGCAGTCCAACATTCAACACTGTGCATAACGCATCCTCCGCGAGCAGGACATAGGTGAGGCTGCACACAGGGACCGGATGGGGTGTGCATTTTGTGTCTTTTTGCATTAAAAAAAAGGGTGGACACACACTTGTTGCAGAATCAAAAACACCTCATCTCCTTATCTATTTCTATTTGTGTTATAATTATCCTTGTGCGTATTCCCATGTGTACTCTGTGTTTCTGTCTAATTCTGTTGCTGCTATAACACCTGGAAACCCCCTTAGGGATCAATAAAGGTCCATCTTATCTTTCTACCTTTTTTTCACAGAAGGAATCCTCACTTCTCAAACGCACTGCATCAAATACATTATATAAAGATTATATGTGAATGGGCCTCAATGTAAAGCACATATTGAGTTGTGAGAAGAAACTATTAACTCAGTTGTCCTGCTGAGTTATTGTAAAGCAAAGTG